CGTTTGATAAATACGACATGGAGAAACGTTGTAACTATATAATATATGTCTGTGTAATTACAGGGAATTATTTTATATACTACTCATATGTAAGGATAGTTTATAAATTCAATCAGTATTACAGTTAAAAACACACTTAACAGTATGAGAGATAATTACTGTATGCATCACATGGACGGAGTCTTTGCCTTTAAATAGCATATTTAGTTCTGCTTTATAAAATACCATTAGACTGTCATAGCAAAACAAGACCCCTTATTTTCCTATGTCTGTGCTTGAAATTCAGTAGCAGATTAATGCTTCATTCCTGTCCTTATAGACTAGAATGTGAAAAGACTAAGGGAGTAAAAGCCAATTTAATTTAATTTTCAGCAACTTGAGCTTCTGCAGTTATCCCAGTGGCCGTATTTGTTAAAGAAATAGGATATTGGATTTGGTATGTTGGCTTTGTGGATGTGCGTTTATTGCACTGAACGCAGCCAAACCCCTTGGAATTCAAAGTACTGTATCATAGTGTAAATGGATATAGAAAATCACTCTTTTTTAAGCCTTATGTAAATTTTTTGTTTACAATATTGCTTTATTTACGATCGTAAATTTTATACAGAGTTTACTATTTGAATTTTTCTTTAATTGTGTGAATCTTAGTAGATTATACCATCTGGACAGTTTATTATACAGTCTATGACCGTGGAATGGTATTTTATAACATCTTGTTTTAAAAGAAGTGTGCTTTTTACAATGGAGTCAATTGTTTTGCTTCCATTCTTCATGCTAACTCAAACCGTAATCGTACCCTCACTATGTGTACGGCCCTGAAAGTTTTGTACTCTTTGGAAACTTTTGTAATTCTGAATAATTTGTAGCTGTTCACGCAAAAAGAGAAATGACCCGGAGCGAAAACGTGGTGTACCATACCATCCCGGACCGTGTAAATAGCACCGTCTTAAAGATTCGGGTCCCGGCCTGTGTCATCATTGCCCACACCCTCCCTTCTATTTTCTCTGACTAAATTGCTTTTTTTGTTGCATATTCCCTTTGCATTGTGTCGATCTGACCCTTGTAATTTGAATCAGATCTGAAAAAGAAAGTCCAGAATAAAATATATTTTGATATTATCGCAGTGTTTTCTTTTTTGCTCTAGCTATAAAAAATTGAAACCTCTCAGTTAAGCTTGCGTATGACGTTGCTTTTTAGACAACACAGTCTGCTCAGAGGGAGTTTTTCTCTTTATCGCACAACAAAATGGAAAGTGTTACTGTATAAACATTGCGTTCCGGAATGCTCTGACCTTGAGCCCACGTTCGTGACTGGTCTGTGACATTCAAATGCCTGATAATGTCCCTTCAGGGAAAAACTGCAGGTGTTTAACCTATCATTCAGACTAAACAAGCAGCACTCTGGTTATACATGTATTTAAATCTTTATCGTTCAGAGCACATAGCTCTCAGTGCAGGCAGAACATCCAGTCACCTCTAGCTGAGCTGAGAGGAGAGATTGTATTGCTAGAGACTTAATTGGGGCCTCCATGATTTACAATGCATCTGTTTCTCCTGGGATTGTCTGTCAGTGGTAATAAAAGTGAAGGGGCCAAGTGTCCTTTTCCTGGAATCTTTCCGCTAGGACACTGCTGCCCAGTCCCTAGGGAAATGGCTCCCGAGAAGCCGGAACATTTACCGAACAATTTAATTTAGAAGACAGACATGCTGTAGCTACCTGTTAACATTAGCCCATCTAGCATATGACTTAACGAAGAACCGAAGCTAAGGGTTTGGGGCATTCGGTTTCCTTGGCAACGTGAGGTCAGAGCATGTACGTTACGTCAGCATTCAGTCGCTGGCGTGGGCGACTGCATCCTGACTGTGCCCGCTCGTTTACCCTTTGACGTTTAGCCAAAAGGTGGAAACGGAGCTGAGAATGTTTCAGTTGTTTTGCCAACTTCCGATTCTGTGTTCCTCATTCTTGTGCATTCTAACGAAAAGGTCTGAACTCTGGTGAATTTAAGTGGCAAGGGCACCCTAACCCAGCGGTTCCCAAACTTTCTCTTAAACTCTCTCTTATATTAATTGATAGTCTCCCTGCACTTCATGTAGAAAATTTTAAACCTCGTTTTTCATGATATTGTTAGATTTTATTGTCCGGCGCTGCAGAACGTCGTCACGCGTCACCATGTCACATGGTACAGAAACCTTGCAAGAGCAAGACGACTTAAGACAGATCGTACAGCACCTCTCAGCCGGCTGCACAAACTGGAACAGTCTCCGTGACGACACAACTTTGCCCTTATCGGTTGAAGAACGTGACGTTTGTATGACGTTTGTATCCCAAGAAGTTCCGATGCATTATCTGCTATTTCTCCCGAATATCACGTAAAGCAGTGAGAACTGGTTTTCAGTTAATTTACCTGGTAAAATAATGTTTAAATAAATTACTTAAATGCCCTAATAGTACACGTAAGTTAGTGGTTTATTTATTGTTAGTTACTGTAATGTTGTGCTGCTTTATCTGTTTAATCGTCCAGTCTGTGAAGAGATTATTTGCCCCTGAGGCTACCCCATTGGTGTCCCCCCCCCTCCGCAATACCTCTGCACCCCCCAGTTTGGGAACCACTGCCCTAACCCAACACCATTCTGGAAAATGTTCCTTTGTAAAAAACATTGCCAAGAGTGGCTAGTAATTCTGAATTAATTTAGAAAAAAATATAGGAAAAATGTAAATCCAATTTGATAACTGGCAAGAATTCCATGTTTTACTGGATTGACAGTGGTTTATTCACCCATGATATATACTCAGTGGAGTTGGGATTGTCACAAAACTGGTTGACAGTACTGTACTTTATGTATTGTTTTGTTTGTTTAATGCTCAGTAGCTATAAAACCATTGCATGTGTCTGCATGTAGTTTTTGTTTTGTGTCTTAATACATAACAGACTATGAAACAGATATTATGGTTATATCTGGGGAACAAACACTCGTATGTGAAACGCAATAGGTGTGAACGCATCGAGCATAAATCAAATACCGCAACTGGCCGCCCCTGTGTTGATTTGGGGTGTGGTGGTGTTTGGGTCCATGCCCATGTTTGGAAGGTTCGAATCCCCTGGCTGGCAGAGTGATGTCATCACTACCTCCTTAACCCCAAATGCACCAGAGGCCATTTGCCCCTCCTCTCTTGTTCTCCCTTGTATGTTGCTTTGGACAAAAGCATCAGCTAAATAAATAAATGTAGCATGAAGTGTTTCCTATGGCAAATTATGATGTAATTCATGATTATAGTAGTAATTATGTAACAGCCCTCCATCGAGTGCTGTGCTTGTGCCTAAGGGTAAAGTCCGTCACGTAAGGTGTGACGTTCGTGCCGTGGATCCCCAAGCAGGTCTGGCCTCCACCGTGCTGCTGGGGCCCACGGTAGTTTTCTCTGGTTTTTGGCACAAACGTCCCGTTGTCACTCTACCCATAAGCCACCCCCAGCCCCGCATGTGCCAAAACGCAGCTGATGCAAAGTCCTCTGAATGCTACCAGGTGCCGTAAGCACTGAGATGACGCATAGTAAGTTCAAAGGAATTACCTTGCGGATAAATGCATGGAAATAAAAGGGCTCAAATATAGAGCCAGCTCAAAAGTTTTGAAGGCTTCTGGGGATGGTTATACCTCTCTGGTATCCTCCTGCTTATCGGTCCTCTTCAGCTTCTTTCATATTATTTGTCTTGAGATGTTTGGAGCGTGACATCCTGTCAATAATCATGCTACTCTGCAGTGAACCTGTTCGCTTTGGGATTACCGAGGCAGGTGGGAGTTAAAATGGTTCCGCTATTCGGCGGGGTGGGAATCCTGCTGTAGGCTGGCTCGCCCTTTCTGGAATCCAGATTGATTTGTTCGTCTTCTGTAGCAGCTTTTGTGCTCATGGCGGCGATGATGAGCACACTGGTAGTCGAGCAGTCACCGGGTTCCTTGCTTAAACTCACCCTCCGTCGTGCTAATGAAGCGTGTAAAGCCACATGCCACAAACTGACGCAGGTAAGAAACAACAGCTGGAATGTGGAACTGCAAAAACCACATCATATGTGGAAGAAATCTATATATTAAAAAATGCATGTCATTTGAATTTTTCCAAATCAGATCTGGGATGCAAATATATGGGATTTTTTTTAAAATTCTCATTATTTTAGATTCTGTTATATACAAAGTAAATAAATAAAATTCCAATTACTACTCTAAAAGCGTTTTAATAAAACAATATATAAGGCTATCTGATTGTACTTCTCCTGACCTAAAACCTCAAGTAATTCAAACTGAGAACAAATTGGTAACCTTTGTTGTAATTTCAAGTATTAAACACTAGATGGCACTCAAGACCTTTCCACAACATCTGCGTGCACACCGGAAATATGACATAAACGTTTTCTAATGTTTGATTTTGATTCGATGAGCCTCAGATATGAAAATATTTATCAGTAAACACAAAACAAATGTTGACCCAATTATTTTCATAAGAGCATTCACACTGATGTTCAATAATGCATGACCAGCAGTCAGATGGCATACTTTAATACACTCATACTGTACTATTATCCATTTTAAGTAACTGCTATTCAGGGTCACAGGGGTCCAGAGTCTATAGGCATATGGTGGAGAACAACCCAAGATGGGGCACCAACCCATCACAGGGCACACAAGAAATTGAATTTAGTGATTAATTGTCATTGTTGACACACCACAGTGCACAACAACAAAGTGTGTCCTCTGCATTTAACCCATATGTGTCATCATGACATAGCAAGGGGCAGCTAATTCAGTGCTTGGGGGCAGTACCTTGCTCTGGGTACCTCAGTGGTGGCTTGCTGGGCAGGGATTTGAACCTGCAATCTTTCAGTTATAAGTGCACATCCCTAACCATTAAGCCACCACTGCCCACAAGCGCCTCTGTGGATAATTTGGTAACTTCAGTCAGCCTCTGCATGTTTTTGGATGGTGGTGGGTGGGGGTGGGGGGGGGACTCCCCGAAGGAAACCCCACAATGACACGGGGAGCACTTAGGAACTCCACACACATAGAAGCTGGGTAGAGACTTGAACCGAGGTCCTAGTGGTGTGAGGCAACAGTGCTGACCACTGCAACACTGTGCTGCCCCAACTGTACTGCTGTAGTGTTAAAGGTCTTTATTGTTTTTGTGTTTAACATTTATCATAAGTTGTTCTGTGCTTATTATAACCTGGCTTATCTCTGCTTATCCCATCCAAGGTGTCTTCTGCCCTGTGCCCGGTCCGTCCTGGGATAGGGTCCAGGCTCACTGTGACCACAGTGCTGTGAAGTGAATGGATGCCTAAGGATTAAAAAAAAGAAAGAAGTGTTTTTAGCATGTTTATAATGAAAGGAAAAGGGAGACACAAAGCAGGCCACGGTTAGCGGAGGCTAACTGGAGAAACGGAACCTCTACTCCTCCCCCTCCATCTGCGTTTTTTTTTAAGGGTGAAGCCGGAAAGGGCACCCTTCATTGTGAGGGGGCACGTTGCTGTGACATTTTGGGAGGCTTGTGATGGAGCACAGTCAGATCTGCACATACCCCCTGGATGAAATCTGACCTCACCCAAGAGGTCTGCCGGTGGCGGGAACAAAAAATAAAAACCATGACAGACAATTCGCCATGATTTTTTTTTTATTACTTATTGTTCATTTAAAGAACAAGGTTGGCTTTGTGTGCGGCACTGAGAACTGTGTCTCTGTCAGGCCGAGACAGACGCCAGCACTCCTCTGGTCTCGCTATTTTATGTGCGATAATATGCGTGTCGGCTGGCAGGGAAACATTGGCGTGGGCTCTGGATGCAATATTTGTTTGGGAAGAAACATTGTTAATTGTGTGCTAGGCACTGGCTAAAAATATAATGACTGCCAAGTAATGAAGAAATGGCAACAGAAAGACAATCTGCCAGTATATCGAACGGTATCAGTCATTCCGTTTTCATCTCTTTTTCATTCTGATTTTCCCGGATGGGGTCAGTGTGGACCTGGAAGCTGTCGCACGAAGCACAGGGAATGAGACAAGGGACACCCTAGATGGGATGTCAGTCCATCACAGGGCATTGACTCACACACCATAGGCAATCTACACAGTGATTTGCCTAAGTGTTTGTTTTGACCATGAGAGGAAACCTGTTTAACAAGGATGAAGACGTACAACCTTCACACACAGACACGGCCAGGACTGGGAATCAAGCATGCAACCCTACCAGCTAAAGTGCTAGCTTTACCCTATAATGTTAAACTTACAGTAAACATCATTAGGGAAAATGTTTGCAAATGGCGTGAATTAAAAAAAAAAAATGTGATAGCTTTATTTATAGTGAGCTTTATTGTCATACCATCCATATACAGGTGTACAGTGGCATGAAATAGCCCCCTAAGACCTGGGGGGGGCGCCCAGTGTATAAATATGGGTGCTGGGTGAGAAAGATTTATATGCATAGTGCATATGAACAAATATAGTATATAAACAAAAAGTAAGACAGCAAAAACATAGTGTGCAATAATTATACTGGCTAAGATCTAGCAGCAAATACATAAATAACAATACTTTTAATGATAAATGGGAGGTAAAAAAGAATGTCGTAGTTTCATTTGGGGATTCTGACAATGTAGTGTGAAATGTCAGACAGCGACCGTATTGTAAAAACACAAAAGGTTGTATTCTCCATGATAGCCCAGGCTGGCTTTAAGGGGTGATGTGGGAGATGACTGAGACCTTCCCCAGTCAGCCACTGTCATTTCTTTTCCATTTTTACAGGATGCTTTGCATATTCATGCTTCATATAATGCTTGAGTGGATGTGGATTCATTGAGCATTTAATCCCTATTGTCTCCTGGGATCTATTGCCTTATTAAAGAGCCTTGCATAATATAAACACTGCCAGGTTACCACAGTGGACTGGTTCCCGTGGAAATGATGAACAGTTGCCGTGAAGAGATATTACCCATAAAGACGCAAGTCTCTCGCTGACCTTCGTCTGTGGGGGTGTCGGCGCTTGTGTGCGGAGGAAGATGCAGCATTCCTACCCCCAGTCTGTCTCCCACTGCTTGCTCAACAGAGCGTTTTCTGAGTGGAGAACATCCACATCTAAGCAGAGCATTGGAGAAAACATGGCGCAGTAGCAGTCGGTACTAAGTGTCACGGCTTTCGTTAGCCGAGGTTCACACACTGCACAGCTGGCGCGCTCTAAGTCTGTGTCTACATGTACGTGACCCCTAAAGTCACGCGCATCACGTCGACCCGGCTTAAATAGCCGGAGCTGATTTAATCAGAAAACGGAGAGAGGGTGAAGCAACACACCGGGTAGACTAAGTGTCTGACTCGCCTTTAATTGAATCGCAAATGGTTCTGGCCCTCGACCTGACGGCGTGCCTTTCTCTGGAAGCCGCTGACCCTGTGCCATCCTTTTTCTGGCCGGGCCCGGGCTGGAATACTAAGCGAATCGGGGGATCGGAGGCAGGCCGGGGGGGTTAACATAGCAACAGAGCCCTCTAGGAGAGGTGGAGGCAGGTAGGTATGGCCCTGGGAAGCAAGGGCGGAGCTGCTGGAAGGAAAGGATTTTATAAGCAGGTAAAGCGATAAAGTATGTAAACGGCACTGGATTAAGTGACTTGGCAGAACACGCTGGCAGAAAAAGTGGGAGATTTCAAGTTGGTGACAGTGACGTGGTGAAAATGGCAGTAAGACATAGTTAAGACAGATAACGAACGGGGTTGGATTAATTGAAAATCACTTTAGCCCAGTAGGGTGACTTACTATAAATATTGTTCCTCGGTGCAAAATTGCTTAGTGTCAGTGAGTATATGACGTGGTCTGGCCTGGAAGGGAACAAATCCAGTTAAAACCTCGGTGTCGGGTGAAGAAACTGCAGAGCAGTTATGAACCTGCCGTGTCCTACAGTCTTTTTCATTTTTTTTTTTTTCAAAAAAAGCCCAGCACCCACATCTTTCTTTTCAAGCGCTGATAGTTTCAGCGTTTGTGAGAGAGAGAAGGTAACAGATTCTGGAAAATGAGTTGCAGCGCGATCTGGGGAGGCTCCTGTGGAGGCTCCTGGGGAGGCTCCTGTGGAGGTGTGCCAGGTACCCGTGACGCCCAAATTGGCTAATGATCGTCTCCTGTACATCAGCCCATTTCATAAGGGCTTTATATTGGCATCTTAAGTGAGAATGATGAGCATGTCGGCGACGCTTGCTGAGAACTTCCACTGAGCGAGGAGATGATACCCATCTATCTGACAAGTGAGGGGTGCATCAATCAGCCCTATGTTTCCAGCGTTTAAATCCATCCATCCATCCGTATTCCCCTGTGCTTGATGGGGGCGCCGCCCAGAACGTGTCCTCCTGCTATATCAATTCTGTGTTCCAACCGCACTTCCACACCCACTGTAGGGTTTTCTCGTTTTAAATTCATAAAATCCCAGAAGAGTAGAGCAAAGGTATGACCAAGTACTGTGTGAAAATGGGGAAAAAGGTTATAAGCATTCGCTTCACACCGTAAATCTTACATAGCCCGTTGTCCATATCTGGAGATGTCAGGGTAGGAGAACATTGAAAAATGCCCCTTTCTTTAGCCCCAGGTAACAAGAGGGCTTATAATCTCTTTAAAAATTCTTTCTTTCCGAAAATACTTCTGTTCCAAGCAGCTAATTTTCCTCTATCCTGCTCTGATTTCTAACACTCATTATAATTTTGTTAATAGAGTAAATACTCAGTGTTGGACATTCAGGTCCAGAAACTACAAACCCACATCAAGATTTTGTTTCCATCAACCAGGTGAGTATAAAGAGTTACAATTAACTGGCTGGCTGAAACAAGAGTTTGGTCTGGATTTTTACTTTCGGGACCTAAAGTACACTTTAAATACTAAGTATTTATGTTGAAGTATAACCCTTCCCAGTACAGCACACATTTTAGTTTCCTCCCAGCTCCCATAATAGCAAACAAAACTACCTGAGACGACCTCTAATGTTAAGTGACCAATGTAGCAAACCAGCTCAGTCACCAACATTCATATGCTATAAACAAAGAGAAAATAAATACAGTGGTACCTCGGTTCTCGAACTCACTAGAACTCGAATTTCTTGAAAGTCGAACAAACCAGTTCGACCTAGAACTCGATCTGAATATCAGAAGTCGAACCGTGAACGCTGACCTAATATAAATTGTACGCACCAGGAGTCGCACGGCAGGTCTCTGAGCGGAAACAAAAAGTAACGCTTGTGGCAGCCTCGCATTTGCTGTAGTAGCAGCGCTTGTTGGTGATAATGCTATTTTATTGAAAATACTGTATCAGGTAATACACTGTACTTTATATCATTTTGTTAGCCATTGCTCACCAAAAAGTTACATAATAGTTGTACAAATGTTACAACCTAAAAGTTTGCTATTCACGAACAAATGAACGAATACAGAGTAATAATAAAAACAAACGATGGACCGGATTCAAAGTTTTTATTGTCATCTACAGACTACAATGCAATTCTTACTTTAATTCCTTCTTCACAGACTGGACGATTAACCAAATAAAGCAGCGCAACATTACAGTACCTAACAATAAATAAACTACTAACTTACGTGTACTATTAGAGCATTTATGTCATTTATTTAAACTTTATTTTACCAGGTAAATTAACTGAAAACCAGTTCTCACTGCTTTACGTGATATTCGGGAGAAATAGCAGATTACACATCGGAACTGCCTGGGATACAAACGTCATGCGTGTAACTAAACTCTTCAGCCAATAAGGGCAAAGGTGTGTCGTCACGGAGGCGGTTCCAGTTTGTGCAGCCGGGGGAGAGGTCACAATGCATCTAACCATAATGCATTGCGTCAGGATGAGAAATTCAGAATGCGTTGCTTTAAGCCAGCGCTGTAAGCAAGTCGAACGCACCCAATGACCGGCCTGGGGAAACAAAGTGAAACGCGGACTTAATACAGAGGACTAATGACAACTACCAGAAACAGCTGATCACATGGGGATCCCACACGTGGTTAACGAGGGGGCGTGGCACACGGAAGGAGCGGACGATCGGTGCAGGACAGGGGTAATGTTGGTATACGATCTTTATCGTTTTGGAAGCCATTAAGAAAAAAATGCTCTTCTTGTTTTATGCTGTTCATTTTGTGTTTAAATGCTAAAAAAATACATATTATGTGTAATTTTGGGGGGGCCGGGAACCAATTAATTGGTTTTCCATTATTTCTTATGGGAAAAAATCGATCAGAACTAGAACTTTTTAGGATTCGATCCGGAGTCAGGAGTTATGCCGAAAAAGGCATCCCTGCCTTAGAATACATGC